GGGGGGGGGTAGGAATGCAGTGGTGCAGTTCCATCCTTCTCTGATTCCCGCTCCACCCAAAGTGTAAAGCCAACTTGCAGTGACAGAAGCATGTCTATTCAGGCAGCAGTAAGGGAGACAATTGACTTAATGGCTCATAATCTACCTTCCTTCTAAACTCTTCATTCAATAGGTGTTACCAACCATCTCTCTTATTTAATGGTCTTGATGATTAACTAATCAAGCTAGCCTTTCTACTACATTTCTACTGTTCGTTGGCTGTTCCTATTTCACAGCCCTGTAGATTTTTTTAACTCTGGCTAAACGCATTAACTCAGTGTGGAAATAACCTTCAGTGATGCATTGAATGCATTGTCAAGCTGCTCAAGAAGGCTAGATTTTGTTTTTTGAATCTGAAAAAGAGATATCCATTTAATTCTAATGACTGTAGAACTAATGAAATAACGTCTTTTGATTGTTTTTGCCTGGTTTGTAGTTTTTTATACATAATATATGATACCGCAAATGAATGCACATACCACTACATTTATTTTTGTTTTTACTCCTTATTTAAACTGAATAATATAGTCCTAGGCCACTAGCTCATTACTAATCCTTCTAGTTTCTTTTTAATTTGGTAAGATACGCATTATGTTACACATAATGATGCACCACACCATCTGTGCCCCCTTTTTCAAATCCTAGATCCACTCATATCTGAGAGTACATATTCTGTATTTAAAAAGGGACACATTTGAATTTCATCTGTTCAACTATGAATTAAATATAGCTCTATGTGAGCACTAATGAATTATTACATTCTTTCAGAATTGGATACAGACTGTCCTCTTTGAATGAATAAAGTTTCTTGGAAATTAGTAAATATTGTCTGATATCATAAATGTTAATATTTAAATCCTCTTTCAATACACCTGTTTTTATAGGGCATGTCTTCACTTCTCAGTTTCCATGCCAGGGAGCACCATGTTGACACCATGTTGTCTAGTGTGCACTGCTCTAAGCATGCTGTCTGGTGAACAGGGAAGAATTGAGCCATTCTACTGCAGAGCTGTGGATGGGCAAATTGTCTCTGCCTCTCAATGGATCTAATTGGTTTGGATGCAGGGATGCACAGATATATCTATACTGCTTCTGGTGCAGCCTGTTTTAGCATGGGACTGCATGGTATTGTAAGTGAGAGGTCTAGATATGTTCATATTGACAGCATTGTTTTTTATGGTTGAAATAATTTTCTTACTTGATTGATTTACTGGTGAAATATCTTTTATCATGTGAAGCCTGTTCCAAAGCCCGCTGAAGTCAAGAGAAGCCATTTTATTGACTTAATTGGCTTTTAGAAGATGACTTTATAGCATACCCTGCATTACTATTGTGAAAACTGGATATTTTCACTCTTTTTTCCATTAAAGAGAATTTTCAGTACAGGATGCAAATATTATTTTTCTGTTCATTCTGCTTTGACAAACATGTCCAATGGCCATCAAGATATATTACAAGTCAGAATCTCTAAATTTAAGTTTTGGTTAGAAGAACAAAGCAGCCAAGTCCTTCTGAATCCAAACATAGTTTAATAAATTTCATAATACACTTTTAAACCCACTTGTTTTGTAGTTAAAGTAAGGATTGGTAATGCTCTATACTGTCCAGGATATCCTGTGTTTTACATTTTAATTCTAACAGTCTCTATCTGGAAATAAATATACTTACAGAACAAGAGTCCTTTCCTCCATTCACGTCCCCAGCACACACCATGTTTTTTGTTATTTCAGGTTGCAAATTGTAATGTTTCTTGTCATTGCAAGTGTTTCTGTCAATGACTGTGATGTTAACCTGCTTCAGGGTATCAGACATCTTGTTCATTTGATTATTTGTGATTCCCCATCCAATTACTTGGCACCTTGTTCCTGCTTTGATATCAGTGCCTGTGTTAGGTAGGTTAGTTGTTTTCACAGCTTTATTAATTTTAACTTTTCCTTTAAGCTACAGTGAAAAAAAAGAAAATATTGTTATTATGCGGGGAGCTGTTAGTAACTCCATTATTTAAGAGGCAAGGATTTTTTAGGGTGATATTTTGTATTGGACCAGCTGCATACTGGGGACAGAGTTAGACAAGCTTTTGAATGAAAGACATTCTTTTTCAGGTCTCTTCTTATTCCAGTTTCTTGCAAGGACTGGACTACCTCTCCGATGGAGCATCACTGTCACCTGAAGAAGTGACCTGAAGAAGAATTTCTTGGATTCAAAAGCTTATCTAACTCTATGCCAACTATGCAGTTGGTCCAATAAAAGCGTCCTAAGAAAGCCTTGTCTCTTGCATAATTCCTCAGCCATGAAGGCTACAGCATCACTCTGACGTTACCCTAATATATGTCTTATTTGGATTATAGAGGATTCATGTAACCTTTTCTTTGAAAACCCCTTATACTTGCTTTTTGTGTTCAGCATGGAATGCTTCTAAGCTAGGCAAATGCATGACCTCTATCCCATGAAATCCTATTCAGCTTTTGCTGAGATATTATCTATTACAAATCAGCATTTTCTTTCTATGCCTGCAGTTCCTCAAAAACATTTGGGTAGCTTGCTAAAATAAGAAATGAATACAGGAATGTTCCAAAGCACATGGCTGACACCACTGACAGAAGAATGGCTGTAAATCCTGGTCTGGGCACACAGGTCAGAGATTTTTCTATTTACATTTTTTAATGATACATTTTCACCAATCTTCTCATTTTGGTGAAGTGTGCCTACTTTCAGCAGAAAATTTGATATTTCATTGAAAAATATGAATATTTGATCAGCACCCAGAATATTACCACTCTTGACACTGATGTGTCATGGGAATTAGTGTCTTTTGGTCCAAATCTATGGTTTGGGTTCTCTGGCTTTACTGCCCCTCCTATGCAGCACCATTGTCAAGAGCTCCCATGATCCACATCCTTCCCCCCAGTTCTCTGATAAGGGAGAAAGTGATACATCATAGAAAATGCATGTCCTTAAAACTATGTTTAATGACATTCTATACCTGCAGAAGCATAAGGTCATTTTCTTTATTTACACTATCAAAGCATGGGTAGGGAATTCTTTTTGCAATCTTAAAACGCTGCTTTTCTTTTTCTTTCTCTGATATTGAATGAGCTCCAAGAATAACTTTAGCTCCTTTGCTGAAGAGAAAAAAGATAGCTGGATTAATCATTAAAACAAATGCATGCATTCATTTCTAAAAGGTACTGTACTACCTTGCTGATGAATACAATGTTATATTTTTCTATATTGTCCAGTTGCTTCTCTGAAGAATTGATCAAACTTTTTATCTCTTCTCATGCTTGTATAGTAACAGTAATTAAAATATGAACCAGAACTACATTGTTATTAATATTTAATAGGTATTAATAATTAAATAAACCAAAAGCATACAGCTATATCTGGGCTGGGAGAGAGAATTCATATGTCTGGATAGTAAGTTATCCCTATGGCTTTGATTCTCGAATTGATAGAAGAGTGGAGGGGATATGTTTTTTGGTTCCAAATTGGATGCCTGAGATGTTCTGGTGGCAAAAATCTAAATCTCACAAGAATCTACATGGTGTGATTTCTGTCATTTTGGGCCAAAATCTTATAAAAGCTGCTCATGACCCTGGACACTGTTTAACCTGCACTGTTACTTTAACCTTGGACCTGAAAACCAGACCTTTGAGATACTCCTGATCCAGATCTCAACATCATGTCTTCCATCTGCATCAGTTCGCTTGTGCAAATTACAGCTTGCTTGTAATTTTTCAGTTGTCCTGTCTCCTTTTCCCAGGCTCACAGGGCAATGGACCTACTGAGCTATGTTTGCTGGGGGCTCTATGTATAAGTGCCAGGAAACCCAAAAGCTTCTTTGTCAATCAAGGCCAAATATGTCCTATGACTACTTGCACTTGTTGATCCAGTGGTTGATCCAATGTTTGATTGGACAGGAAATAATTACTAATCCCTTCAAGCCAAGCTGGACATTTGAGGGCATTTAAGTTCTCCCCCCATGCAGCAAGACTTTCTTATGTAATAGAAAACAAAACTACAGGGAAGTGTTCAGTTCTTTTTTCTTAGGACATTATATAGATGTTTACTTACTAACAGAAATGTGTTTTGTAGTTTAGCATTTTCCTTTAGTTCAGCTCAATCCCAAACTTACATTCTATTCTCTGTAGGGTCCTAAATGTTAGTCTTGCAAATACTAGGTGGGGAATACTATTACCGGCAATTTAAAAATTACATTTGTAATAATAAAACTATGATCACAAAACACAAATTCAGAGATACTGATTCTCATTTCTCAGCTAACAAACTGACTAAACAGGAAATAAACTGACCATATCTATGTTTTGTTTTGACAGTATCTGCAGCAGGCTTTAAGGGATTCAGAAATGGAATCTGCAGTGACAAACATTTGCTTTAATTCTTATTGTACCTTATTTACTATCCCGTTAATCAGGTAAGACAGTCTATGAAACAGAACTTACGTCTGACAATGGGCTGCAGTTAACACCCAATTTTTTTTAATCAGAGATCCTCCACAATATTCTCTCTTATTCATAATTAGGGCCATAAATGGTTTTGAATGTGGAATCACATCTTGTCCTCCAATGATATTCATACACAAATCTAAAATGAAAAATAAGCCATGGTGAACACAGTTGGGATAGCAAATACTGTAAGAAAATCCATTTTGAGTAGGTTCTAAAATATACACTATAAAATACAAGGTATGAAATATACTTATAATATATAATACACTATATTATACATAATAAATATTACATTTATAATAATATAAAGCAGCCTCTAAATACACACACAAATACACTAGTGTACACATCTTCATAGAGGGGTTTCTAAAGTTGTTCAGCATTGCTCTAAATCTACTTCCACTGAATTCAATAAGAGTAGCTTTAGGGTAGCAGTGAGTGCTTTTGAAACTCCCACCCACAAGTTGCTCCTGTGTAGATTTTTCCTTTCCTTAAGTTGTTTCTATTGCAGAACTTTCATTTTGTTCAAAACCCTTAATCTGCCACTAGATTAATAGCATGCAGTCTGATATGTGCCATGTAAATTATCAAATCAATTTATTTATCCTTGGATGAAGGTGTGAAAAGCACCCTGTTCAAATTTGCGACACCAAGATTTGGGGCGAGGTGGGCAAGCTAGAAGGGAGGGACAGGATGCAACAGGACCTGGACAGGTTACAGGGGTGGGTGAATGTGAATAGGATGGGATTCAATACTGACAAGTGCAATACTGACTTACTGCACATGGGCAGGCAGAACCAGCAGCATACCTATAGGCTGGGGAACTCCCTTCTTGAAAGCACAGTGGCAGAAAGATCTTGGAGTCATTATCGATTCTAAAATGAACATAGGCCGCCAATATGAGGACTCGGTCAGTGAGGCTAACTGTACCTTGTTATGTATCTACACATGCATCAAGAGTAGGTCCAAGGAGGTGATCCTATGACTCTGTGCGACACTGATCAGGCCACAGTTGAAGTACTGCATCCAGTTCTGTGCATTGCACTTCAGGAGGGATGAGGCCAGCATTGAGAAGGTCCAGAGGAGGCCACTCACATGGTCAGGGGGCAGCAGGGCAGGCCCTATGAGGAGAGGCTACGGGACCTGAACCTGTTCAGCCTCCACAAGAGAAGGCTGAGGGGGGATCTAGTGGCAGTCTATAAACTTACCAGTGGGGACCAGAGGGGAATGGGTGAGACCTTGTTCCCCCAAGCGCCTCCTGGAGTAACAAAGAATAATGGCCACAAGTTGATTGAGAGTAGGTTCAGGCTATACATCAGGAGGCACTACTTCACAGTCAGGGTGGCTAGGATCTGGAACCAGCTTCCAAACGAAGTGGTGTTTGCTCCTACCTTAGGGGTCTTTAAAAGGAGGCTCGATAACTACTGAATTGGGGTCATGTGAGTGTAACTTCATGGGGGTCATATGAGCCCAATATTCATTCTTGCCCAGGGCAGGGGGTCGGACTTGATGATGCTTCCCTCTGACCCTACATCTATGAATTTATGAATCTATGAATAAGCATTGAATGAACATTTTTTCCCCAAAAAGGCTGTAAACCCAGATATTAATGTCAATAGCAGAGATGCCATAGATGGCTGTTTCTGACACCTACAGAGATGGATATCTTTTGAGAGAGAGATAGAGAGTCAAGTAACATTAATATCTCTTCTAGATTCCATAATTGACCCCCTCTCTCTACACATTTACTTAACACTGTCCTTTCATGAACAATATTGGATGCAATCG